CCCCCCCCCCCCCCACTATTTTTTTTTGGTTCACTCGTGCGGCTTTTTGTTTCAGTCGAACGAAGTATTTATGCCATAAATGACGTAACATCCAGGCGGACTACAGTACGTCACTATGCTAAATATTACTGTTGCGAAATGTAGTGAGTTATTTTCTAAAACACATATATAGCCAAGGTACCCCCCCCCCCAAAAAAAAAATCGCCATAAGCATCCGTACGCAACAGCAACTCACATTAACGTATGCAATATATTAAGGATGACCCTGAGCATTTAAAAGAATCTCCTATCGCAATGTATTACGATGATCACCCAGAGTTAATAACATAATTAACAGTTTCTAAATTTGAATTTAGATAATCAGTAAAACAGAACATATTTTCATCCGTAACTTTATCCTATTCCTATTGCAAATGTTCCAGTCAAATTAATTTAAAAAAGTATGACGTAGACCACACTACACCGAATCATAATTTAAATTATTATATATTATATTATATTATTATAGTTTTAAAAAATGCTTAGTCTACAATTTTTTCCTAGAACAGAGGATTATTGACGAAAACTGCAGTTCTTTAGTTTGGGGGATGAGGATTTGGAAGGGGGAGGGGGAGGGGGGTGGAAGAGACATTTTGCAAGATCACATTTATAGCCTACATTTTTTTGTTTTTTCTTATTTTAATTTTCAACAAAATGAACATTGCTCGGAAATTTATGTTAAATTGATAAGAATTTTTTTATTGATCCTGCTAATAAATGGAAAACGTTTTTTGAATGATGATGATGAGTTAGTAACTTTAATAGCGCTTCTGTCCATGCTATTTTAGCATGTTCACTGCCTCACTGCGCTCTGATATCCTAAAATCTATTTAAAGAAATTTTAAAAATATGGTTCTTTTTTAAATGACTTTTTATCATTTTCAATTTCCCTCAAAGATTGAGGCAAACTGTTCCACAATCTAGGCGCAATAGCTTCAAAAGAGCGCACTCCATATGACTTCTTTCTGTGTCCAACCACACTGGGGACTCACAATAAGGACTGTCCTGAAGAGCGTAGGTTCTGTACATCTAAAGCAGTGGTTCTTAACCTGTGTTCGATCGAACCCCAGGGGTTCGGTGACTCAGTCTCAGGGGTTCGGCGGAGGTAAAAAAAAATCAGAAAAAAAATCATATCTTATTTTTCCAATTAAGAAGGGTTCGGTGAATGAGCATATGAAACTGGTGGGGTTCGGTACCTCCAAAAAGGTTAAGAACCACTGATCTAAAGTATTTCTCAAGCGCAAAAATCATCCGTCGTATGGGTATTTACTCCTTAAGCTTAAGTGACATTATGACATTAAAGTGATTATAAAAGTGATTATTTGTAACAGCCAGGGGAGCACTTTGGCTCTGATAATTCGGATATATTGGGGAACAAATGAATTTTTAAAAAATCTTTCGGTCCTAACTTTAAGGGAAAAAATTCGACCTGATCTTAGGTATCTGTGATAAAAAGGGTGGGATGTATCCTCCAAACATTGTTTAGTTTAGTATTACTTTACAAATGCATATTTTTTATATTGCTTCAAACATTTCTTCAATTTCAAGCAAAGTTAGTTTTGTTGTATGATATTACTTGCTTTCTTGATAATATGGATTATATTAAATTTGAATGTCATTCATGATGCCGATGCCATTTTAATAATACCATATGTTATCTTAATGACTATCACGTTGCCGTTAAAAAAACATGTCAAATTTGTTATTACGAAATTTCACTTGTGAATGTGGAAAAATATTCGGCATCTCGGAATCAACGCTGAATTAACTCGGATCTCGGTGGAGAAGCACCCTTTTTTTTCAGATCCAAATTCAAATTTGAGAAATAGATTTTTGGGATTCGCAAAAAAAGAATTCAATGTAGCCAAGGTTGACTAATCTTGTGATACTAAAGATTTGGTCTATAAAATCTGCTGAGAACACTGCCAAGCTACCGAATTCTACTTCCATCAACCGACGCTGGATTAAAATAACTCATCCAATGACAATATAAAAAAAAAAAAAATAACAACCAATCTCGGTGACTGTGACTCAGTGACAGTCTCACTCAGTTGACTGTTTCAAGTGTCTGTCTACCATTTCACTTGATTCACAATTCAATCTGCATCAAATTTTGATTGTGATGTGATAGCAGACCGCGATTCAGTAAAATGCGCTGAGTAGTCATTTAAATTTAAGTCATGTACTGACTGAATGGCATGGCGCTGAGCAATGACTGTCACTGCCAGGAATTTCGCAGAATATCATTATTGACATGATTGTATTTGAATTTGAACAAGTAGGTTTAAGCTGAATAAACTTAGTTTTTGTTTTTATTTATTTGTAGGAGCCCAATGTCTAATATTATATAATATTTCAAAACAACAAAGATTGTCTAAGACAGCCACAGTGTCTCAGAGTCAGAGGCTAGAATTACTCTTACTCTTAGTGATTAAGTTTAAGGAAATCATAGCCGTTCTTCGTTCGTTCTTATATTTGAGGTGCCCACGATCAATTTGTTGATCATTCTGGCTCCTGGTTTGAATTCAGAGTTTGCCTTCTCTTAGATGGGTTGCCGTCCAAGGCTAACGAGTCCCATCTACCCGGAGTGCTTGGGATGTATTGCTTTGGTGGGGATTGAACTCCAGACCACCAGCTGTTTGGTTTGAGACCGTTTAGACCGCTCGGCCACCCAGCACGCTTTTGTACTTTGTCCAGGGGAAAAACAACAGAATTAAATTAAAAAATAGTACTTAGCTGAAAACTGAAAAGTAGTCTTCGAGAGGGCAGCAAAAGAATTGTGACAAAAAATAACTAGGTGAGAGATTAAATAGAGGCAAAAAGGGAAAGACAGAGAAGTTCGGAGAAGTAAGTCCACTGCGATTGTTCATGATGTAGAGAGGTGGGGCAAAGGCTCAACTTGTGAATGTAAGCATGACATTAATGCCATGTGGTGTCAAGGTTCCATAAATATGGATAATAAGTTGTTTTGCAAATTCACCCGGCTGTGTGTGTTTGTGCTGGTCACGATCACACTAATTGTAAAATCCGCTGTGCCCTTGTGGTCCCTTCTATTGAAGTGTTTAGAGATGGGACACTGTTTATCTTCGTAATATTACGGAGGTGTTCAGGACATCTATCACACAGTCTGTGTCCTGTCTCCCCTATGTACGAATTCTTACAGGGGGTGCTAACAATGGCGTAGGCATAGACAACATTATGGCTAGTAAAAAGGAAACTGTCCCTTTTCTGAAAACTATCCTTAGTGAAGGGTATGTGTTGAGTGGAGGACAAAAGATCTAGTGTTGCAACGGCTGTGTCCATATGGCCAAAGTGGGAGGGGGCAGCATTGATGCGACTTTGCACAAATATGTCAGATTTTTACCATGTATGAAAACGTTGCGAGGCGGTGAAGAGAAAAGGTCAAGTGTATCAGTGTTGGCGAGGAATATGGCACTGTTTTTATGGAAAACACATTTGGCTATTAGATTGTGAGGATGATAAGTGAGAATAAGTTTGGCCCTGTCAACATTGTTGCTTGGGCGTGACCTGAAGCATCAGCACTGGTAATATTCCTAACCTTTTGAAGGGCTGGTGAAAGTACTGTGTCAGACCTTCATCAGATATAGTTGATAATCTCAAGTGCTTTGTCCCAAAAGTCATCCTCCGACTGGCAAAGTCGACAAAGACGAAGTAATTGAGAAAAAGGAATAGAATCTTAACAGGATTTACGGTGGCAGGAAGAGTAGAGTAAATAACTGAGTCTGTCAGTAGGTTTGAAGTAGGCGGACGCATACGAAATCACATCTGTAGCTTGATGAAAATGGAATAGTACAAATTCAGGAGATTATACTTCTTTTTATTGTGGATTTAATTTTAACAAAATATTTTAAAGTAATGTTTAAATCATGAGTTTATTAAATTTGCAATTTAGTTATTTATGGAAAAAATTGATAGTAGATTTATTGTTGCACAAATTTTCAACTTATTGTCAACTACACTGCCCAAATTTAATTGTAGTCGCAACAAACAATTCTTTCAACCTAACATTTAGTTTTTTCTTCTTTTTTAAAAAGAATTGTGAAAAATGGATACTCCCCTAAAACTTAATGTAGAAGAAAGCTTATCTAGATCTGGTAAACTGATCACTGATGTTTACTACAGGACGCTTTCACGCCAGGTGGTAAACAGTGTATGGGATCAAGTGAAAGACAAAAAAGGTAAGTCTTTGTTACATTTTACTGGGTCTGGCATGTTCAGAATGTATTAATTAGCATGAGGAATTTCTATTTCTGTCAAACTTTCCTGTTTGCCTTTGCAGCTATATCCATTTGCAATTGCCAAGCCCTTCTCCCAAAAGTTTTTTATAGTGCTATGCAATTATTTAGCAATCTAGTATTTGTAATAGTAATTATTAGCAATAGTAAAGTTTTTTTTTGTCTCCTGAAAATATTTATCACATTCAATTACCGATATTCATTTATAACATGCTTTTAAAATTTCCAAAAAAATATGATAAATTTTATCATTCTTATCACATTTTATTTGCATCTCTTCTATTGTACATATAATAATAAAATAATAATAAAATAATAATAATAAAGTTAATTTAAAAAACACGCTCCATCCCCAAAGGCTCGAAGCGCGGTACAAAGTCAACAAAATACAAATATTAATATGAGTATTTTTCCTGTAGCCATGTGTTTTTTTATGGTAATAACTCACAATAATATTTCACAGCGCCCTTTTCAAATGAGCAAATATCCTCTGAGCCTTCACCAGTTGAAACTGTTGAGGATAGTTACTTTCCAGATTTGGACTTAACTCAAAATGTGAGTATTTTTAATAAGTCATTGGAAATAATTTTAAAACTTTACAAAATTTGCGTAAATTAAATAAAAACATGTAGTGAAATTTTATGCTCCATTTAGGTCAAATTCTGAAATCTCTCAGACATTACACCCTCACCGCCTGTGTGCTTTGGTCTCACAGCAGTTAATTATTTCACTCGTATAAAAAAATTGGCTAATAAACTTAAACAATAATCTTAAAAATATAAGTCATATAAACTTAATTTTCAGTTTTTGTATTTTTAAACAATAATGTCTTGGGAAAAAGTGATAATTTTGATCGTGTCATTATTAAAAAAATCCTAAAATGTTTTTTTTATAGAGTAAAAAGTTTAAGACAAGATGCAATGTTGATGAAACAATGAAGCACATAACAGAGCATATGGGACAAATATCATTACATTGCCAGGTTAGTACAGTTAATAAATTAAATTATGTAGCATATTTTATTGTTGCAATAGATACAAAAAAAGTGAAAATATGTTTCCTTGTTGAGTTGATTTTTGGTCTTTCATTATAGTTTAATGAGATCGGTTTGTTGGGTTTAAATGCCTGAGTCGTCGAGGCACTAAAAAATGTCCTTCAACATTTTTGCACGGCGTACGGAGTTAAAAAATTCACTTTTCAATGATTGTTTTAAAAGTTTTATGGAGTAAACAATTTTTTATCTTTTTGATTTGTTAAGCATAGCTAGTTTCATTGAAAATTCATACACTTTTTTCCCCAGTGCTTTTATAAATCATGTTCCAAAAAAGATCTCACTAAAACTGAAAGAAAGCATTTTCGTGCATACCATAAACTTCCTAAAAGGTCAATGAAAAAAAGGGTAGGTAATGATTATACACTGCACAAAATTAATAGTAGATTTTATTTTGCTGCACATTCCTATCCATTATTACTGAAATAGGAGAGGAAGATGGATTTCCAAATTTTGTAGGTTTTACTAAGTTAATTTTTGTTAATAGTGAGAAAACCAGGGAATGAGCACATTATCTAAAGATTTTGTTTAATTAGTGTAGAAGATTTGTGTAGCAATAGCGATTTAATTATTTTATTACTTCCCTTAAAATCCCAACTTCTTTCTATAATTTTGCAGAAATCTGGTAGACATCGAAGTGGAAGTGAATCAGGCTCATCATCAGGTTCTTCTGTAAAGAGAAATGAAAGAAGAGTTTCTCCAGGAAAGCATATTAGTTTTGTTGTCCCATCATTTTTGAGTGGAGATGGTAAAAAGTCTAAAAAAAACCAGAGAAAGGGTACTGGTTATCCTACACTACAGCCATCACCAACTGATGATGATAATGACAGTGCAGCAGAACTGCTTTATAAATTTGATGATCTCGGTAGAGCTAGTCAGGGAGAGATAGACACTGTTGCTGAGGCTAACTCTCGGGTTTCATTCAGTGCTACACCTGCAGAGGTCAAAGTGCGAGGAAGTTCAAGACCACCATCTTTGGATTACAGCAGCACTTCAGATGAGACACCTTCCTCACCGAAATCTGGAAGAAATAAATCACAAAATGCTAGTCAGAATTTTACCAACCACTCTCAAGGAAATACCTTTTTCAGTCAGACTAAGCTGGGTAAAGATCCATTAGCATCTTATTCTACTAATCAGCATCACAATGGCCATTTTATGAATCAAAGGAAAAAAGTAGAGGGACATAACCGCAAACTGGTCATGAAAGCACAGCAACAAAATCAAATCCTCAAGAAATTTTTATTTACATCATCTAATGAAAGTAACGCAAGTTTCAGACAACCTGCAGAACTAAAATTTGAAAATGACCATGCCTTTATACCCCAAAAAGTTGGCGTTAATCTTTTTTCGGACACTTATATCCAAGGTCGTTCACTTGGCCCTTCAAGTTCATCTGCTAAGTCAACTCTGCCAGTGCACGCTACTATTGAGCAAGGAATATGTATAATCACCAATCCTGGCCAGTACATAGTGAGAAAACCAGGGCAGGGATCTAGCACTCATGTACTGCATGTAGAGCCGGGAAAGTTCATTAATCTTAATATACAAAACAATGGCAATAGTTGATCTTTAACTAACCTTTTTAGTGCAAATAGCTTTACTTTTTTTATAATCTTAACAATATTATTTAAAAGTGATTGAGATAAGTCCAAAGTTAAAAAGAAACATAAGAAATAATATGTAGTGGTAAATATTCATATTTTGGAGCAAGTAATTGAGAGGTTGTAATTTTATTCTGACCTGCCAGCCTGTTGCCAGTTTGTGTTACCGGTGCTAAGCAAGAACAATATACAAGACAGACTTTGCTGGTTTGAATTTTAAGTCAAATTTAATTTTTTTGGAAAGTGGAGTTAAATTTTGATTTCATATCTGAATCTGCAGTATGATATTATGGTTATGTAGATTTATTAGTATGATAAATTTTAAATAAATTGATATAATTGAGACAAAGAATGCCATTAAATGTTAGTAGTAGTATTGACATGTTAAAAAAAAATGCATTAAATGTGCCTTATTAACAAAATTTAATTTATGCTAAAAGGAAAGTTTGTGCATTTTAACAATCATGAATATTATGTGATAATGGTATATAATATTTCCTTAACAATCATGGCTTACCATCCTAACCTTTTATCATATTCACAACTTGAGTAATTTTAGATTTTATTAAATCGTTAAAAATTATCTCATATGAGTTGAGAAAACCTTATGCTGTCTAACTTCATTAACCCTTTCATTACTGCTGGTTTTGGTATTGATTTTTGCTGACTCAGCAATAATTTTAAACAAATTCTGGTATTTTTCATTTTCTATCTGATTCACTTCTCTTAAGATTAATGAATAAAGAAATATATAGCATTCAAATATGATGTCGACGGGACTTCCTTGTTATTTCAGAAAATATCGTTGCCTCTTTTTTATGATGACAATGTGCTGTCCTTGGTAATTGAAAGTGGGTGATCGTGACGTCGCGTCGTCGTCATCGGTAACAAAAGTGTTAACATTGGACAATTCTTCAAATGTCCTGAGTGATAATTGCTGGTTAAAATTTTAAAATAAAATTTACATCATGAACATGAGAAATTGTGTTCATTAAAAAATCATCTCTTGGCTTTAGAACTGGATAAAATCCTTAAGAAATCTTGAATGTTGCATGGATGCTTAGTTCATATTTTATTTTATTTATAGTACTGTATTGTTCAGTGCATCATATTATTAGTGATTTTATAAATTTCACAAGTTATACCTTTCAACATTGCATCTTCGCTACCGTACTCTAGTAACTAAATCACTGAGCTCTTTGATACATCTAGCAAAAGGACTGTTTAACATCAAAATAAAGACTGTTTATTATTTCAAGCTATTTTAGGTATTTTAATGTGTTTAATTTCCAACTAATAGATACAGAAGTTCATTGTTTATATTTCATAATTTAAATAAATTTTAGATATTCAAACTAGATATTCTTAATCTATGGTTAATGTTGTTTGTTTTTTTTTGGGGGGGGGGATTTTTTTGAGAGAAAAATAAGAGGGGAGTAGTGTGACAGTGATGAAAATACTCATGTTGTATTTACAAAATAAATATTATAATTACCATTTTAAAAAAAGTTCTAAAACTTAAATCCTGTTGCTGCATGTATTTAATAGTTTACTTTACTTGATATTTATAGCTGGCAGTTACATATGATGTCTTCATTTCTTTTTTTTTTACCTATTCTCTTTATGATCTGGTTTGTATAATATTGTATATAAATATTTATAAAATCTTTACACCATACCAATAAATAAAATTTTTTTTTACTCATGAATTATGACTCAAAGCTATTTATTTATTGTTGCTATATTACATGAACTGATGTTTGTTCCTCCTGTATTTACAGTCTGTTCAGTTGAGCATCTGCCCTCTTTTTCTAATTGCCCTCAACCCTCTGTAAAAGTTGATGGGCACAAAATCTCTGTTTATATTTTTGTTGGTCTTAGTAAGTCCCAATACAAAACATTTTTAACACTTGTTGCTAAAGTCATGTACGAATTTACCAGCGTGCTCCCCCTGAAGTCACAAATCTTCATGAAAACTAAGAAGTCCCTGACATGGCTAACAGAACTCACTAAATGGCTGTTTTTTTGTTTCTTTTTTTAAATGTCTTGTGTTCAAATTGGTTTATTTATGTGCTGAAAATGTACAATGCAATCAATGATCATAAAACATTTCCATTTGTTTGGATCAAGAAAAGAATCTTATCTTATCCTATAGTAATATTGGTTCAATAATTTTTAAATGTTTTATTTTTTTAAGTCTCAAATCTTAACAAAGAATTGAAAAAATCAAATTTAGTTGTGGTAAGTCTTAAATTTTTTTATTATTGATGATAATACTGTTGTACCTAAAATAAAAAAAAATATAATAAAAACTTATTTACATGGTATTTAGACAATAATAAACACAAAAGTATTTTTAAAGCCTTAGTGAAAAGCAAAGTAACCTATCAATCTAACTCTAACATTTAGAACCGTATATTCTTTGGAAAAGTAATATTTTCAACACAGTAAAATGTAATAAAAATAACTTGACAGGAGCAACTGGGGACCAGATATATGTTATTCATCTACTGTGACTGCCTCAACCCTTTACAGCTCTGTCCTGTTAAATGCTTGTTAACTCTTAATCTACAGCATAGATCCTCAACAATTTTACATAACAGGGCAGCTTTGAAGAGAAACATTTACAGTCAAATTCTAAAATGTTGCTAACTATTAACTTTTCAACACTTCATTGTAGCCCAATGCCTACATAACTCTAATCCACATAATAATATAATAAATGTTATGATAAAATAACCATATCTCACAAACTTTGTTAATAAACTATCTATAAAATGTTCAAAAATAATACCATAAGTTAATCTTTTAAATTTAACAGCAAAGAAACAAATATATACATGGAATTTAATTCTCATTCCTTACAATATGTGGTTTAAAAGGGTACACATTTTTATTATTAAAATAAATAAATATGATTTATAAAAGATAAAGTGTGAAATTGTTTGGGATTCAAAATACTGAATAACTAATAGTTAATAACAGTTCCTTAAACCAGGTGTGTGCAAACATTGTCGCCTCTAGGGCTGGACACTGAATTAAGGAGGTGGATGTTTCCCAGACAAATAAAGTATTACATAACTATGGCATCCATACTTCAATATTTATGCTATGCTAAGCATTTCCAACTTTCAACTGAGCTTTCCAATGATGAAGCTAGTTGACAGATGAACTTCTATACTATTAAGTTAATGGTCCAAGTTATCCTGTGTTTATTAATTGGACATTTTTTTAATTCAATGAAATCATGTTCTCAGGCCCTTAGACCAGAGTTTGCTCAGTTTTATTCTATTCCTTAAAAACTCAACACATTCTCCAATCATGAAATACACACAAAAAAAAATTAAAAATGATGTTCTTAAGTTATAAAATAAATAACTCTAGAAATATAGAGAGCACAGAATTTGTGTGCAAAAAGGTTATTTAACATAAATAAAAAGTGCAAAGCAAATTAATGTATTTTTTTTAAAAATCACTCAGCCAAAGATTAGAAAGTCTTTAAATTAAAATTTTTAAAGAAAAATTAGCTTAATCCCTCAAGCATGCTGTGAATAATGCTGTAGCATTTTCTTTTTTTATAAACAAGGACATTAAAGGGGTATGTCTATTTAGTAACAAGTTAGCAATTATCTTGATAAAACTATCAATCTGATGCAAACCAGTGCTGGATAGACTGAAAAACATTTATTTAATTACACTTATTTTTAACTGGATTATAGGATAACAGCATAGTTTTTTTTAGCTATTTTGGATAAAAAAATTATCTTGAACACTCTCATACCAAATTTAATGTTTAAAAATTAAAACCATAGTTCTTGCCTGAGACTGTAACCAAGGACATATACTACAACATCAAGAAACAAACTACATGAATAATAATAATTTGGCATCAATGAGTGCAACAATTATTATAAAAATGGAAAGAATAGTTTTATTGTTACTTTTGTGGCATTGACTTAAATATTTTGTGATGTTTTTCTTACGTATCATGCTACAATGGGAAGAAAACACTGAATAACTGATGTCTACTTAACTAATTTCTTGTTCCTTATTTTAATCTCATAAAATACTAAATGCAACAGCCTCAATTATCTTACCTAAATTATTTTAAATGTTTCTTTATAGCAAAATTAATCATAAGCTTCATTAAATTTTCTAAAGATTATTTTATTTTGTTCTTGAACTGGATTTAAACATAATTTTTAAAAAAAGCTTAAGCTTAGGTTTTCCAGTCTAAAGTAATCATTAGGGAACCTTGATCTGTTACCATTAGCAAAAAGGGATTTTTGATGCATTAACATTTTTGTAGCTAATGAATACAAAATATATTTGTTCTTATTGTTTTTTTTAATAACTGTATCTGCCAGTGTGGATTGTGGCATAAATAATTACGGGTTGAAGTAGAATACATGTAAAAAAATTTTGACTTCAATATATTCATAAATAATAGTGTAATGGAAACATCACAGGGATGGGTCAGATGCAGAAGTACATCACATCCCCTAAATCTGCCACCAGTATCTGCAAATACTACATTAAAATGATTGATGTCTCCTTACATAAGAAGAGCAATAATATTCTTTAAAAAGCTCATGATGCATTTTGGCTCCTTAGCAGAGTTTTTAATATTTCAAAATTAAATGTAATACTTTTACTAGCAAAACTCTGCTAAGTTCATTTTAGATCCTTAGGGTTAATTATTTCATTAATGAATATTCAGTTAAAATACACATGTAAACATTATAAAGAGTATATTAATAGCAACCCATCATATAAGAGCAAGCTACTATTATTAAAATTGTCCCATTTAAATGTTTATTTTAAATTATTTTTTGTCCCTGGCTAATTCCTCAACCATGGCAGCCTAACAACTTTGTCCCCAGATGGCCACTCATATCGACTTTGATACTCAGTAAAGTTTGGAAGGAAGACATTGCTCTGTATTGGCCTTCCATAAATTGTAAAATCTGGAGAAGGATTGATTTTGAATTCTGATATGGCTCCATTTGTGTCAGGGGCTGTGTAACGCAACATATACTCCGTCTTTCCAGGAAATACAGTGTTAATTCCAGCCTGGAATTAAATTAGTAGGAAAACATTAATATTTTGAATAATGCTACATTCTAATTGTACAAATTACTGCAGTAGGCTAAAGTTGAAACAAATATAAGTAATGTTTTGGAATGTATAGCTTCTTCAGATCTTTTTGGGCTTCAATTATCATATACCAATACTCTACAGATCAAAAGTAACAAAAGCATTTTAACTTTAAATTTAAAATAATATTAAAGGATCATTTAATTGAAGAAAGATAGTTCCTATTAGTCCTTAATTTGTTTTTTTTTCATCAAATAATTTTACTTCACAATGCTTTTTTCTCATTGTGAAATATTTAGTTACTATTTGAAAAAAGAATGTTGCCTTAACATAAAAGAAAGGTTTTAAAATTGACCCACTAGGACATTTAACAAACCATGGAAGACATGACTATCTTGGTTTAAACCCACTCAAGGTATTCTTGGTACCAGCAAAGGGGTTACAGCTTGTAAAATATTTGGAAAGTGAGGACTTTCATCTGACTATTCATCCCAATTATATTATTTTCTGTTATTTACCTGTTCCTGAGGGCTGTTCAGTTCATATGGCCGTTTCTCAGGTGGTATGATATTGGCATATCTGTCAACCCTGTCATACTGTTCACAGGCATTCAGAGCATTCAGTGTTTTCACTTCATCCATCACACTTGATTGAAGGGGTGGTCCACCATTGAGTGGGACAGTGGACTTAGGATACAGTGAGTCTATTGTTCGATATCCTGCAAAATGTTAAACATTTTAATCATATTTTTTCGGTAATAACTTAAGGAAAAGAAAAACTTATGGACAGCTGTAAAGCTTAAACAAAGTGTAGTCATTGAAAAGTTAAATTCAAAGTTTTGCTCAGTAAATGAAAAGCAAAGTACAAAAAAAATATTTATTAAAAAAAAAGGCATGAGATCAACAGATTTTTAGAAACCTATTGTAACTTTAAATGACCTTATGGTGATCTTTATTGACAGCTTAAAAAAGTAACCGTGCAAACCTCTTGTTACTCTCATTGGCGGGTTGACAGTTCCAAACCTCACTTGTTTCTTTAAAGCCCCCATGTTAGCAGGAGGCACACCTCCAAATTCACTGAACTGATTAGATGGCTCCCCTACAAACCGCATTGTCCTTTTCACAACTCTCTCATCAAGGGTTGGACTTCCCAAAGCTACAGAATAAAGGTTTAGGACTTTTTATTTAGGGAAATATTGAACATGGACATTTAAAATATTCTATGATAAAAATGCTTAGTACCAAATTCATGTAGAGTCTTGTTATAAAAAAGTACTAGACTAATTTTCTTCTTAAATCAACATAATGGTGCATTATAAGAGATTGTGCAATTACTCATTATGCATACAAGTAAAATATGTTGGAACTATGAATAGAAAATTACTAATGTGGTGTTTTTTATTATGTAAAAATGAGCATAAGGTATCAATTTAAACAAACTTACTAGTATGAGATCGTGTAAGATTGTTCATGAGTCCAAGCTCTCCAGCTTTATCCATCCATGTTGTCTTCATTTGAAATGGGTCACGAGTCCCACGGCTTAAGTTATTACGATAGCCAGTATATCTGTCAGTTACTCCAATGGTATCCCCAAATTGTTTGATTCGATCAGCAGCATCAAATGTATAAGACTCCAATTCCTTAAATTGCAGAATAGACAAGTTTTACTAAAAAACACGTTAATTTGTTAAAAATCTTCAGAGCCATAACTATTTTATACACTACAAAAGGAAAAAAATATATTTTAGTTTATTTCATGTGAGACTTAGCTTTATGGCTCTATCAAAATATATATGTTATGGCTCTGAAAAGCTTGTTGGTGGGGTTTATAGATAAGCTATTTATCTAAGCCAGGAGGTTGAGAGTTTTTCAAAATAAGTTTCCTTTTGATACTACTAAAGCACTAAATTTTGCTGAAAAACGTACCACCTTATCTAAAATGCTTTAAATGCATTGCAACCAACTACTCAAGTGTTTCTATCCTTTTAAAAAAAAATTAACATACTAAAAAATATTTATGCAAAAAATCTTTAAATTTAATGTTCATTCATTATCAAAAACACAGAATTAGTGAGAAAAAATTATTTTAAACACATAATTTCCTTTTTTCCCCCATTTAAATAAATAATGGGTCATACAGAAAAATTGATGTTTATTTATGCTCACATTTTGATTTGTTACTGATATTGGCTAAAATTATTCTTAAGAAAATAACTGTAAAGAAATCAAACCCTTTGAGCATTCTTAAGGACCGAAATGGTCCATTGATGTAATTCCCTGATTTGGTTTTCTTGTTTCCCATTAACAACACTATTAGCTAATCGATACTTGCACTCTTGAAGACACATTCCAATTCTTTGAATGGCATTCATGGCACCTGATATGATTAAATTGAGAATTATTTTTATAGGCTGTATTAATATTAATATTATATTTTAAAATTATAGAGTTAAACATAATTCAAACAATCAATTTGAGTTACTACCTATAAATCTGTTAAAGAATTTACCTGTCTAAGACTATATTTTTTTTTCAATAGTAATATTATTTTTTTTAAACTTGAAAACATTTATTATAATATGGGGGGACACGACTGCATTCAGGTTTGGTAGAAGGAAATATGTGAAACAAGGTATGGGAAACCTGAAAAAATGACGCAGCAAAAAACAACGAACGTGTCAGCAAGAAGCCTACTTTAGTGAACAAACATTTAATAACACAAATACCCCAAAAAAAATTTAATTTGTGGAAAAGTAGTATCCACCACGGCAGGAAGTGGAATGCAGTGAATGATTTATTCCTGTTCTTCCAAGGCTAGTATTAATTTATGTGTATCATAATAAATTTTTTGAATTCCAGATAATCAATCTAATATAGTGTAATATAACTATAATGTGCATTCTTCATCACAATTTAAGTTACAACTTTCACAAAGAAATATACTTATATTATAGATTTTAAAACATTAAGTAATGCACCTTAATTTAAATATTATTTCCAATAAAGTATTTAACCTGACAGATGCTGAGCAGTTTCAGCTGGAGTGAAATTCCCAGGTTGCTTCTGCCAGTTTTGAGAAGTTGTCAAGAATGTATCATCTAAACTTAAATGCTCAAGTGCATTATTTATAACTGACATTTCTCGTGCTATCTCTTCAGTAACATAGAAATTTCCTGACTGAAGAATTTCCTATAAAGACAAAATAATAAGATTATTTTTTGTCATAATATGTTTTTTAAGTAATTTATTCTTTTGTCAATAATATACGGATGGTATAAACTGATCAGAACAGTCTAGAAAAGAATCTCATATATATTATACTAATGGATCTTTATTTCACTAGTAGGCTTTTTCATCCAAGCCCTTGGTCTTGACATTGAATGACCCCATCCCCTGTTTAATGTTTTCTTTAAGAGCAGGAGTCAGCAAAATTGTGCCAGATTAGGATTTATAATTCCTTCTGCATGCCAAAAACCTATAAGCCTACTTGCTGGTGAATTTTTTAGCCATTTAATATTATTTTTTGTTCTTCCGCATGCCATGAAAAGTCATGCTGTGGCCAAATCTGGCATGTGTGCTGCAAATTGCAGATCTCTTATATAAAGCATCTCATTTGTTAGTTTGATTTTCCATAAAATTACATTAGTTTTGTTTTAGGCTATACATCTTTATATTACGTATAAATTAATATGATCTTTCCTTTACCCTGTAACTAGTAACACATGAACTTCATAATGAACTTTCATTTTCTCATCATTCTCACTATAAAGATTACAGTCTATTAGATTTAATTAAAGTTCACCAATAATTAAGTTTAAGGAATGAATAATATTACTTAGTTAACAATTAGAGTATTACTAATGACCAAAATGATTTTTTTACAAACATTTAGTGATTTTTAATTAAATTATAATCAAACAGTATTTGTGTATATTTGTGTATTGGGGGATCTTAATTTAGTAGACTACAAAAAAAGTACTTCCAGCATGAAAAAGTTAATGATCAACTTCAAAAGCTCAACGAGTCATATTAAAGAATACAGTACTATCATGACTAAGTTAGGATAAATCTAAACATTATTATCCCCTGTTAAAAAATTTAAGTCTAATTATTTGTGATGAAAAACTGGCTTTAATTATTTGAATAAAAATTTTGATTTAGAGTATTGTTATTTTTTTTTACTCTTTATTCTTCTTCCTTGGCATGCAAAGATGACTAAGGCTTTGATGGTTGCAGCCTTGACTTGAGCTGTATTTAGTTTAGAGGGAGGGAGATTTGCTCAGTTCATCACCCTCACTCTCTTGTCCTTGCCAAATTGTACCAAAAGCAAGACTTAGTCCAAGATGACTGGAAATAGATCAGGATGCAGTAAATAACCTCCAGTGTTTTTTTAAAATTTGTTTTACTGTGCATTTTTTGCATTCCACATCACAGGATTCACCGGAATTTTCATTTGATAAATGTCATACAGCCTATGGGACTCAATCTCCAGGTTTGAATTCAGAATGTTTAATCTCTTGGATAAGTTGCCATTCAAGATTAACGAGTCCCATCCATGCAGGATTCACTCAGTTTAGACCGCTCAGCCATCCAGCACTCAGATCTAGAGTAAAGGCTTAACTATTGCCAAACTCTTAAGTCAAATTGAAACACTTATGATTTTTCTTTTGAAGCAGTTGTAGTAATGGTTGGTAGTAGTAGTAGTAATCTCACGGCAGTCAATGGTGTCTCAGTCAGTAAATCATTAAGTCATTTGCGTGGATATTTTTAAATATTTTTCAATAACTAACTTAAGTACTAGTGATATAGTTTCATTTTAATGCAGTGAAAGTTATCAATACTAAAAACTGAAGACACGAGTGACTAGTGACTCTCTGACTGACTTGTCATTCAGTTAGTCCGCCGCCGTCTACTTACTACTTCTACTTACTCGAATTTCATTTCTAACAGCAGTTGCCGTACATGGTAAGATACCTCCTTGTCTCAGTGCCATTGCTTTTTTTTTTAGTTCCAAAGCCTAGCAATGTGATGATGTATTATTTTGACAACATGAAAAACAATGTTCGGGAATAAAAGATGTTAGAATGTTATTTATTGAATTCGGTGTGATGTTTTATTTATGCCGTCGTAGCTTCCTTAGTGATGGTTCTGGGCGTTAGTAACGAGATCTCTAAATGTGTTTTCTTAAAATAAAAGATTAAAATTCAAGGGAAATAACTTTCCATTAAAATGATTGTTAAAACCATCGCCACTAGAGTTAGAGAATCCCATTATTTTCATTAATATAATACCACCAAAGCTCATATGGCTGGCTCTAATAATTCTGGCGCCCGGGGGACATCTATCCCCCTTTGCCCTTTTTAGCCACGCTACTGACTGATCACCCCATTCTTATAACTTTTTATTTCTACGTACAGGCAGAAGTGGCCGTTTAATTCTGTTGTGGTGGCATCCTACGATTTCGTATACTGCCCGTAGACTTATGCGAAAATAATAATGTAATTCAAAGTCGAACCCCTAGTTTGTCCTAGATTACCTACCATTATAATTTATAAAACCGTTGCTGGAAATTGGGGACGCCTCTGACGGCACAATTCATGTCTTTGCACGGGTCAAAAAGCCTTGCAATCTCAATCGTTGACATAGCTAGGTAAAGGTATTAAATTATGGATATGGGTCGTTAAAATTATAATGGTCAGGTCTAATGAAATAGAAAAAAATGATAGCCTAACATTGTGGTGGAAGCAGTTTCAGGGTATGCGGGAAGACCCAGAAAGTACGGTAGGCCTAGCCTATATTTTCATTTTTATTACCATTTTTAATCGTGTGGGATGCTGGTGGGGAAAATTTTTTGAAATTAAGAATGGTCGTGGTGCTGCAAATAGGCTACTGGAAGTATACATTTTAATGGCTGAGAATGGCCCAAAACAAACAAAAAAAAAAAAAAAAAAAAAAAAAAAAAAAAAAAAAAAAAAAAAAAAAAAAAAAAAAAAAAAAAAAAAAAAAAAAAAAAAAAAAAAAAAAAAAAAAAAAAAAAAGGAAAAACATGAATAATAATTATAATTAAAAAAAAATATCAGCAAAATAAAGGTATATTTTCTCATTATGTATCTAGGGTAAATGTTTAGCCAAATATATAGCCAGGCTGATGTATACGATTAGTATATCCCTCTATATCCCTCCAGTGAAAACATGATTATTTTTAAATAGATCATTTAAAAAGAAGTATTTTTTTCTCTAACATTATTACCAAAACTATTTGATGGAATTGAATTGAACATCTAATTCACAGCAATATATATTTTTTTATATTACTCTAGATATATTTAATTTTAAAATAATTGCTTTGCTTCTAGGTAGGGCTTATTGTTTAGTTTTCGAACATTAATTCAGTGAAATGATTCATTGACTACTCTACTTAAAATTTTTATTGATGTGGCATTGTATGCCATGCTTTTAAGAAACAGAACGTTCACCACCCACCAACGCTGTCACGGAATTTGATCCAAGGGTTAGGCTACCACAGCATTGCATGAACGGCTTTTAAATAAGCTCAAACATTTAATTTTATTTCTCGGGAACCCTGGGGTAGACCCCTCAGCCGACGCCGGCGCCGAATCCGCCGCCGAAAATCCGCCGGAAAGTATGCGGCGCGCCGCATTAGCCGTCGTATTTCGTCCGACGTAAATCCGCCGAAAAATGAACGATTCGCCCTAACGTAATGTTTGTGCTTTCTTAAATTTCATGGCGTTCCGTATTTTAAGGTATGAGGTATTGAGTGACAGAAACTGAACGAACGGAATGCATTCATGCACTGTACTAGAAGGACAGCATATAAAACTTTTTTTCCCCTGTTGTTTGAAATAATAAAACTTTTTCTGAAGTATTGTAAAAGTGTTTAATTTCTAAAGTTTTATTAATTCATTATTGGCCAGGCTTCAGCCGAATTTCAGCCGAATATTTCGTAATCAGCCGCAAATATCAATTTACGGAGAAATCCGGCTAATTCGGATATCAGCCAAAAAATTATGTCAGCCAGCCGAAATTTAAAAATAAATTCGGCTGGCAGGTCTACCCTGGGGTATTATGCTATATGTGGCATTGTACGCCAGGGCTTTACGATACCAGAGCGTTCACCACCCAAAAGTGTCGTGGAAATTTAATCATGGGTTATCACCATTGTCGTTATTTCATTTTTTTTTTTGGAATTTTTTTTTAAAGAAGGTGGTTGTGGGGGTGGGGGAGGGGGGGGGGGGAAAACCAAAACTTGGTCGACTTGTTAAGTTGTTTATGACAGGAGGCGCAACAGTAAATAGCAATTTATTAAATAAATTACAAGTATCAAGCCAACGGTAGTCATACTTAATACCGTTGTATTTACTGTCCCGCTATGTGTGCCTCTTACATAGACACCATACCTGGATGGCATACTATTATAACTTCAAGATCTTTAAAGTTTATGTTAGCACTCACATCGCACTCTGGTTCTGTGTGTAGCATTAACACTGTGCACGTGTTTCAAATTAAACACTGCACGTGGTTTCTTTTATAGTTAAAACATTCGTAGTACAAGATAATTATCTTTGCCATGTGTATGAACCAATACTACTTACGTATCATTTATCATGCTTTCTAGTTAAGTATATGTTGTCGCCACGTGTAATTACGTGGTTATGTAATATGTTTATTATTAGCTTTGTTAGTCAGGACATTGTTAACCTGTACTATTTGTTTATTTTCAGATATTGTCCTTTTTCTTTCTCTTTTTCTTCATAGAAGCCTTTTTCTTCATAGGCTACTTCTCCATAGTTCATAGTGTCCTTTTTCTTGTTTTCATCATCGGAGAGCATTAATTAAAAAGCTATAGTCCTCAAGACCTGATTGTTTCATTTTGATTTTATTATAAAACTGTAAGCTACGTCATCCACTCGGCTACACTTATATAAATAAAAGAGAGTATCTTAGATCACCGAGACAAAACGTAAACAGAAACGAATACGTCTTCGGGGTTTCAGTCCGCGATTTTGACTTTTATTCTTTTATTCGGGTTGCATTCTCCAGGGATTGGCAATTTACAACCGGAAATCTGCCAGAAGTCAAGGGGTAGACTTTTCTGTTCGATGTTTGGCGTAGATGCTCTCTGGGATGTTGGAACGAGCCTTTTTATAGTGAGCACACCAATTTGTTTTAACATTAAACTTTTAATCGTCTCCCTAAAGTGCACCACTGTTCACTATCCAATTTTGATGGTTTGCAAGTTAACAAATGCGCCTTCATATTTTTTTGTTTGTAGATAGAATGATATTATAAGGGGTTGGTGATGAAAAATTTCTGTTCATTATTTATATTAGCCAGTGTTTTAATCACTTGTTAGCACCGCAGTGTGTCTTTTAAACATGATACAGCCGTACACTGAATTCTTAAATGGAATTTGTTGTGATGTCGTTGTTGTTGTTTTAGAAGTCGCATTTCGTGACCATGAAACGAACATGAAACGAGATGTGGTTCTGTTGGAATAAAGCTTAACAAGGATAAGGTGGAGTTTAAAATAAAGGAAATTTCATACTTATGTCGTCGAATCACAGGCGAAGGTTTGAAAATAAATCCAGAAAAAGTAAGAGCTATGAAGGAAATTAAGAAAACAAGTAATATTGAGGCAGTAGAAAGTTTCTCTGTCTTTGTGAATTATCTTTCAAAGTTTCTTCCCAGACTATCTGAAACCCTTGAACCTCTTCAACTACTACGTACATATATCCTGTGGTCATGGTCATTTATCGTCAAAATGGATCTCATCTAAGAAGAGTTGTAACAATGGATGAGCAGACTACCATTGCATCCAATAGAGTTCCAGAAACTCAACATCATGAGGACCACTTGGAGGCGCCCCCCCCCCACATCAGTACGAACACTCTGATAAACCCAGTATAAATCTTGACTTCTAGTATCATGACAGCAGACATCCCGAGTTACCAGATAAACCAGAACCCGATATTGAGTCAAGTCTGCAACCATACAACAACCTACGAAGAACCCGATCAGGATGGGAAATAAAGACTACAAGAATGAAAGACTTTATTTTTAATTAGTGGATTTATTATAATCAACTAAAGATTACTTAATTCATAAACTATGTACTGTTGTCAATGTTTGATGTGCGACCTCTAGCCAGACAGAGAGGGGTGCTGTGATGTCGTTGTCGTTGTATTGTCCGTTACTTTCCTTTGTTGTCAATGCGTGTGGCCCGTGTTTCTTGAGTAGAGATGTGAGAGGCCATATGTGATCTTGCTTGTAACCATTCATTAAAAATGTACACACGCAGCTGGACAGACGTGTCAGTGTTTCTTGTGTGTTAGCCATAATACTACTAAATATAAAAGAATTAGATACCAGTATGTACGTGAGCATAAAACTAACCTTTATATCGTCCTGGTTACACATGTTGCAATGTGCTTATAAGCGATTGATGCAAAAGTAACAAACCAGCGAATATACGTAAAATATGTGTAGTAGGCTAACTCTCCTGTCATGTGCTAAATTCTCATAAAGGAAATAGTGCATGTGTTAGAATAATATTACCAGCTGTATTTAATAATTCGACATTCTGCAATGCGCTTGTGTCTAAAAAAAGACACATCGATTGATAAAAGTATTTGTATATATTCAGATAATGTCCTTTTTATCAAGGCTAGGTCTATAGTCCTCAAGACCTGAATTTCTTTAGTAAATATACAATATTATGTATAAATATGTACATTTAAAACTGTGAGCTGTCTCTTCACAACACGGCTATAGGTTTCGGCGCTGTGAGTAGGGTAAAATTGTGTTATGAACCAACAATCAGGCACTCACTCTGGCTAATCGGTTACCTAAAAATTAAATTTTACTATTTTAGGTGTTTTTTGTGGTTTAAAATTTAATGTTTTTTAAATTTTTGTACACATTTTCTTGGGAGGGGGCTGTGTGGGTGGGGGTATGGGAAGTGGGAGATTCCTGAAAGAAACACTGATGCCTGCTGCCAAAAATATGAGTGAAATCCTGCAGAGATATGACCTTCCACCCAGTGTCTTGGACCACTGAATGGTATAATGAGTGAGAATGGTTAAATAATTAAACATGGAGACAACATTTTGAAAATCTCACACTTTAACTGCTGATGACAATGTAGCTGAAAAATGGAAATGCACCAAGAGATTAAAAAGAAATTGTGCAAATGTGCTTAAAGCGATTCCATACACACTGCAGCAAATAGGCCTACTGCAAGACACTTATCTAGTTAAGAGTCAATATTTTTTCCATCTCAAAACAATTATTGATCATTTGCAAAGTTACTATTTCTATTATTGTACACTGAATATATTATTTAATTAACATATTATGTTAGCAAATAACCTAACTCTGTAATGTTAATTTTAGTGCCTAATTCTAATACATTCTTGATCTCAAGGAACAATATATTTCACTTTCTGGAACAAATCGAAATGCTGTGTACGGAGCATAAGGGTCCTTGGTTTATAGCGGTTGCACACTTAGTGAGAGCTTATTTGGAACTCTTTTTGTTTAGAGAATTTTATTTGTAAACAAGAAAACTTCCGGGAACAACTGATAAGTTAGGTTAATGTAGGCCTACTCTTTTAGTCCTTTAAACAGCGCTTTCTTAATTCTCTTTAAAGCAGAAATCGGTTTTGAACACTTGGCGTTTCCCTCTGTTGGACCGTGTTTTTTAAACTACTTTTTTTTTTTTTCATACGGCTTCTAGTGTCTTGGCAATAAGATGAATAGGGCGGCTGTGTGAAAAAGTTAAGTAGTGAACTGTAGCCGTAGCAAAAATACGCCAGCTTAAAATTCAACACATTGAAACATTTTGAAGGTAAAAACTTATTTTAAAAATTAAAAGAGAAATAAATCAAATGTAAGGAATTTTTTTTCCACATAAAAAAAGAAATTTAAAAGGATTTGGGTTAAAATTATGGGTTTTTCCAAGAGTTGTCTCACCCTTTCTGGAGTGGCTTCACTTTGGACTTTGGGGAATCCCAACACTGGAAGAGTGAACAGACCAGTTGTTGGACCTGAACAGTGTGCCATAACTTTTTTGTTCTCAATTCTTTTAATTTTATTACAATATTATAAGTTTCAACAATAGAAATGAAAAAAGAAACACATCGTTGCTGACTACCCAAACCCTTAAAAGTGCAGTCTTTTGTTTTGTTGAAAATCTAAATACCGTACCCATATGCTAAAACTTTGGTAACACAAGGGATACTATTTTTGTATCAGAAATGGGCGTCGTCACAATAGCTTGGCTTAGGAAATACCACAATATAAACCAAAATATTTGATAACTTGAGTTTCAGAATGAATGTAGAAGGCATTTAAACTAGAATATTTTCATTTGATGTTTAAAAACCCGGTAGAGTCTGTATTAAAAATATCACAATTTTCCATGTTGGTCAAAATCTCGAAGAGTTTTATTCATAAGAGTATGCCATTGGTCAGGGAAAGCTTTAATTAATTAATTAATTAGTCATGTCCAAAAGTTGATCGTTCAAATATTTTTTATACCCTCTCCAGAACCCCTCCCCCAAATTTCAAAAATAGAAAATGAGAAAACAAAAACGTACATTTTAAGTAAACATAAATATCAAAATCTTTTGAATACAGAACTATAGACAGAAGTTGACTTGGGCTTGGGGGGAATCTCCATGACCTTTATACCCTGGAACAAATCGTCAGCCTTAACACTAACCAAAAATCAGCCACCTAAAATTTACAACTTACCTCAATGATAAGTCAGTATCTTTAACTCAAGGCTAAATTCACCTCTAAATTAATTGGCCCCCCCCAGCTTAATTTCACTCCTAAATTTAGTCCTCCCTTATCTTAAGCATAAATCTTTAACTCTTTCCATGCCGATCGACGATATATTGTTGATTTGACTGGCTGCATTTGTGCCAATAATTTCTGTAGTTTATTTCATTGCCTGCAGCTATCTATCTGACTTTTTATTTTCTCAAAGGAACAATACCTCTTCCTGCTCCCTTCCTATTAGTAGTATGGTGTGTTAACATTTTTTTCTCGAATAATTGCAACTTTTTTTTTATTTGTGTTGAAACTGTTGTAAACAAAGCAATTGCCACACCTACTCCAAGCTCATCAGGTGTTGTCAGACCACACAGGTTGTCAAGTTTACAAGCACAAGAGCTTTTATTGCGAATTATTGATACAGAAACATCAGATCCACCCAATCAAAGCCAGAGAAAACATCCATCAACAGTGCAGACGAGCGTCTTAAGGAAAACAAGCACCTGGTTGATTTTGACTGGCATGATTGACAGCGTGTACAAAATAACCAGATGCAGCTGCTATGTGTGCATCTTTGTTCGTTAAGGAGTTTTTCCAGAAAGTAGTGCACCGAAACAAATTTTTACTAAAATAAACTTTTTGTATGTGACATTTGTGTAAAAATAAATAAATGCAAAGACGCTGTTTATTTTGGTTGCCGTTAACATTAAAAAAAAATTGTATAACTGTCACTAAATGGAATATTTTCAAAATTTAAATTGCCCTCTGATCATAAATGTATATACTTTCTGAGGAATGAAGCAGACTACAATACCAACTACATACTTCATATAGTCTGATAGTTTAAGATTTGGTGTACATTTTTATAAAACAAAAATTTGATCTCATAATATTACCAATAAAATTTGAACTGTTATTGTAATATTGTTTTATCTTTTACATATTTCTGTCTAATTTCCTTTAACTTGCTATGATAAAAAAAAACTTCAATTAGCCGAAAACTGGGCTGGCACAAACATTGAAACCCCTCTGGCATGGAAAGAGTTAACCTAAAATCTATGACCTAACTTGAACCCTTGAACCCTAAAACCATGTGTTTTTTGTTACAGTTACAAACCGGTACTACTGAAAAAATTGTAAATTTGAATAAAAAGATTAATATTATTATTTTTAAAATATTCAAAATAACGAAAACGCAACTTACACTTACAGTTTCAATAAATACACTTTTACACTCTTGATAAATCCAAAAGTTGTTAGAAAAGTCGAAATCCATTTTACAAAATTATCAGACGATGACCAAGTTATAATGGCATTCAAATAGGCCTCATTTTGAAATGTTATATAATAATAAAATATTAATTAACCCACAAACGATGGCATGCATCATTCTGTGGTGTGGAGCTTTTCAGAGCGTTTTGAGTGCCATTTGAAATTGCATTAAATGACATAGAAATATTGATACAAACCCCTATAAGTATATATTTTTAGAAAGGTAAATGGATGGGGATAAAGTTGACCATATTGCCCACCCCGTAAAAAAATTTTGCTCAGTGTCTTTGACCTTGGAGTTCACAAGAAAAAAAATCGACAAAATGTTTTGCTTTTAAGTGCTCATAACATCATTAATTTTTATAGATACACTTAAAACTTAAATCTAAATGTTGTAGCCAATTCATTTATCTTTAAAAAATGTATAGTTTGCTAAGGTTTTGATTGCAATTAAACCTCTGAAATCAATTTTAGTAATTTTTAGGTAATTTATATAAGAAAGTGGGACCACTGCAAAAACCAAGTACAAAATACGAAATCTCAGGCAGAATAGTTATATTGACTAGTAAACATTTAAAAAGGAACCGTGGAACTGATTTGGGTTGTCTAACTATAAAATTTATTAGTTCTGATCTATAATCTGTAGCTTATGTGACTAAAATTCAGTCAGTCATTGCCCAACCTCCGGGCCTGGCTCGAAGTCTAACAGTCACATCAGTAGGCTTACTTAAGTATCACTAAGACTAGTATAAAATTCATGAGAAGAATAATCTCAACTGATATCATCATGGAGAATGTTAAAATCATCATCAGTATCACTTAAAACCTCTCCTAGAAAGCTTTCAAACATATTTCTATTAGTTCTTGCACTGAAGGTCCAGCCATGGCTTCAACCATTTTAGCTTAAAAAAAAACAGTGATATAAAACTCCGATTAAAAAGTATTTATTTTCAAGTTATCACGAAACAGCTTGAACCGGAAGATGATTTAATTATTAATAAAAGGACGTGACTATAATTCCGGTTAAATATTGGATTTGGAAGTTGCTATCGGACCGTGTTTTTTATCGGCCGCCACAGTACAGAACGGGAATGTCGGTAGATTTTTTTGGCCGACCACAGTGGGTTAAATAAAGCAATAATTCAAAAAACATTTCATCAGTAATTAATATAAAAAAGAAAATAGTTAACTCTGGTAACAATCTATGACTAAACAAAGGAAAGGTCACTCAACAGAATCTCAGGAACAAACGTCAAGCATACATAGTCCCAAACATCAAAACTGGGATGACGTAAAATATTGTATATCCTTAGTATTGATTTCCCATATTATGGGAAATAGCAGGGTCACTAGGTAAGGCAGTTCTAGGAGAGGTGAACCCAGATTAAAAAACATTGACTACAGAATTAGGAAGACAGCAGCCAGCTTGGTTTGAGTTTATAAATCATCTGTAAAAAATAGCTGCAAGGGGCTATCAAAATATTACATATGTACTGATGGGGTTTTGTTGATTTAGGAGATGTTGCGTATGGGTGCATATTGGGAGAGGTCTTGGTAGAATCTGTACAGACATTGTTGCGCACAGTCTGCAATAATTATTCTGAACCCTATTTTTATTTCGAATTTAATAAAATGTTAAATAAAAATCTGAAATCTTTTTTTTATGTAATTTAATTTTTAATTATTAAGTTTATAAAAATGTCTCTAGAATGTTTTGTTCTCATCGTCATACTGTTAAGTCCACTCTACTCATTTGTATGTTTCGGAATATGTGACATATTTGTGATCAAAATTATTGTGTTAGGCATTCCCAGTTGGCTGGTCAATAATCTAAAAGTAAAAAGGGAAGAAAACCAGCGACAAAATTTTTTATTATGATTTACTCTGACTTCTTTTAATTGCCCTCAGAATGTCATGATTTCTATAATTAAATTTTTTGTAGAGGGGATGATAAGCTCATTTGTAGGTACATATGGTGGAGGATCCTATAATATACTGGTGTGCACAATAAATGGATTAGCCCTTAATCTTATCATTTAAGATAAAGGTGCTGGAATACACCCTGCATGCAAGAAAGAAAATACAAATTAGCGGGAAGTGATAAAATAAAACTTTTTAAATGTCGAGTGATTTTACACTCACAAAAGTATTTTAAAATTGTTTCATAGCTGGATGTAACTTTTTCAAGTGAACCATTAAATCATCAGGTATTTGTAGTTTTGTTCAAGAATTTTTTAAAGTTATTTAAGATTTTTTTTTTTAACACAATATTTGTTTATAAAAGGGATGGCAGATGACAGGGAGATTCTCCGAGAGCTCTGGGAGGGAAAAATTCCAATTTGTTTCCAGCTTGCCCAAGAAGAGATTTACACTGTTGATCAACCAGATCCATTTTTTGTAAGTTAAATGAAATATTGTGATATTATTTATACTTTTTAAAGAATGTACAGATTATTGTTTTCACTAAATATTTAAAAATATTAGAATCTCTTATATATATTATGCTTCTGGTAGATTGCTTCCATTTCTGGCTTCTTCCTAACAAGCTGGCTGCTTCCTATTCAGCATATTTGGTATTGAGATCATATTACAAGTAATTATATATGTTTGAAAGAAAGTATGGTTCAATAGTGAGTTCAATAGCGCGCAAAATATAATTCTCGATAAAGCTAAATGATATATTTTTTACAATACTCAACTGCGTTTGGTGCATAGTATTTTCTTTTCTTTTTTGGAAAATGAAATCATCTCTAATTACATGTGGCGTAATAAATATTCATTTTCAAAGTGGTAGGGAAATCAGAATATTAATATAGTTCATGGGCGTGAAATAAAAGGTGTCCAGTGATGTATCATGGGGGGAAAGAGTGTAGCAAAAATTGGGATTCTTAATTGTGCATTACCAGTTCTTGAGTTCATTATTTGTCAAGTAACTTTAGTAGACGGGAAGTTCAAGCATGACTGTCGCCAAACAACGCATGACTGTCGCCAATGTTTGGCCTGCTCTAACTAGACTGTGAATTTTGATTTAAGAAAAAAAAGTACAGTGTTTTCATCACAAACTATGTTAGAACATTTCTGTGAATCTGTTCACTCATTTGATCAGTTGGATGCAAAGCCCTATACTTTTTATCTTTCACAGCTCTTCTTCTTTTTCAATTGCCTAAATTATGAGGTAAAAAAAAACCCAAAACATCCTTTATTAAGCGGATGAGATTAAAATTATGTTAAATTCCTAATATTTTAATGTAAAATCGTTTAGAGAACAGATATATAGTGTGTGTGTGTGTTTTTGTGTATATATAATATTAATACACACACACAAACACAAATACACACACACTAAGGAGATTCACTTAAAAAATAAATATCATAATATTCATAGGAGATGATTTATCAATCTTACTGTGTAACATAAATATTTGTTAATTAAGTGAAGATCCTCAGAATCATATTGATACATGTTGCTCTCTTTATTACGGTGCATGGCAGATCTTGTTTGCTGATGTTGCCTGTTAACACTTTTTAAAAACAAAATCTTGTCAAAACTAGCTGCTAATAATGTCCTTAAAATTTTATATTTAAAAAAAAAAAAAGAAATGCTTTGAAATTGTTTACATTACATTACATACATTTCTGAATGGCTTTACTTGATAATATTGATCGACAGAAGCAGAGATTTAACATATGAAAGATAGGGATTTAATTTCCTCTGTACAAATGAACACCATAAAGAAGAGTTGCTGTTGAAGGATGAATAATATGCAATATTTTGAGATAAAGGCTAGCACACATAATTTGATAGCGCAGCCACATAAATATAGAAAAAAAATCACACGGTTCCTTCAACTCTATAATACAATTTGGTTTTATAAATGATAGGATCTTTTGGTTTGAGTAAAAGAAAGCTATTAATCTGTTAAAGTTAAATACCAGCCAGTCACTATTAGCAGCCAGTCACCATTAAAAGCCAGTCATTTTCACCAGTCTCAAAAGTTGGCAACAGTTAGGCCCTACTTGAAAGAATTAATCAACTGAGAGTATTGTGTACAAACTTGACTCTTGAATTACTGAATTTTTTTCTGAAAAAAAAATCAACCATCCATTATTATCTCTCAACAAATTAAAACTTTTTTTGTAGCGTTATGTTTATTCTAACTTATAGACATAGGTACATTTATTAGGCATTAAGAAAAATTCAAATTTCCTTAGGAGCATAAACTGCATGAATTGCTTGTTTGTTTATCTATACACTGCCTTCCCTCAGTTAGCCTGAGTAAAATAAAATGTAATTAGTCATTTAACTTGAAGTTACTTTTGAATGAGCAGGAGTTTTGTGTTCAAATATTTCTTTTCACTTTTTATTATGACTTGAAGTTTGTTAGATTCATTTGACCATTAAAGGGCAAAATGTAAATAATCTTTTTTTTTTTAAAACTATTTTTTTATTATTTTTTTTTAAAGCTCTTAGTCCCCAGGCTTAGCTACTTTCCATTAGTCACAGATAAAGTCCTACGGCACATGGTGAAATTTGTTGAACAAGAAAGCACTGATGAAATGTGGCTTGAGTATGAAGGCCAGCCACTGAAATGGTGTGTAGGCTATTTCTGTTTTTAAAGATAATTTTTACGGCACTAGATGAAAACTGTATTTTAAAAACTTGTATTTATCATAATTTATGTTCAGCAAGGAAGATGTCTGTATGTAAAATGCATTTAGTTTTCATATTCAAATATAGTTTTACAGAAACATCTGGTCCTCTCCTAGACTTAGTTTAGACCTTAATGACTAAAGGGCTTAACTATGAACTCTTCTTGGGGGGCAATACAAAAATAACATTAAAATAAGCTGTAATAAAGTATTTCTGCACATCAAAGCAGTCGGATAAATAAAGACATTTAAGCTGATGAGGCCTGAGCAATATGTATTGTTAAAAATAATGTTCTAGTTATTTTGTTTATGTAACTCTGCTTTGATAGGATAAGTGCGTCTCAAGTCGTTAAAGTAACAAATAGAGAGGAATTTGAATGATTGATTCATAATAATTTTGAACTTTTCAATTTTTACAGGCACTACCCCATTGGTTTATTATTTGACTTGTATGGACATCAAACTGAACTACCTTGGAAACTCATTGTTCATTTTAAGGTAAGCGCTCAACATGTTAATCAGGTGAATTAAAATTTTATTTCTTAAAAAGGCAAAAATGTACAAACAGTTTTGTTTTTTTGGCTTAGCATGATGGGTTGTTTAGGACTGGAGGAATTTGTTATGAACTGGTGTTGGGAGTATGATTAGGTTTGTGCATGGAATAATTGTTCGTCATGAGTCGGTGAATAGTTTTGTGATGGCCAATTGTGATTGGTCGGATTATGAAAGGTCGTGAAGTGTTATTGTATAGATCAAATTGTCAGAATGTTGTAGCTGTCCCTTTCTGCAATTGATATATGAGTTTATTTGTGTGGAATCGATATGTGACTTTATGTATGTGGGATTGATGTATGACTTAAGCTGTGTGGGATTGATGTATGACTTAAGCTGTGTGGGATTGATGTATGACTTAAGCTGTGTGGGATTGATGTATGACTTAAGCGGTGTGGAATTGATGTATGACTTTATTTGTGAAAGTGTTGGATAATATTAATAAAGAAGTTATTTTTTTACCCTGTGTTGTTACTGCTTGTCGTGATCTAGTGTAGATGGAGGGATGTAAGCATATGTTAGACAGATTGGTTCCCCTAGACAACACTGAGCCTTAAAATCTGCCTTTCGGGGTTTGTAAGATTGACAACTTGTTCTTGAAAAAGGATTGTTACAGTAAACAATGATAGCCATCATGAGCACTAGCAGAGCCGTGGTATTTTAAAGTACAGTATTAATAGCATGGGTCAAATACAGAGGTAAGAAAGAAGGAAATGGGGCAATCAAAATGGATACAACTACCCCATCCTCCTGACCTAGTTTTGGAGACCATGGAGATATGGCAGTCAAACCCTCATGACGACCATGTTATAGCGCCATCATGTGTTTTAATGTTGACCCACTGTCGCTTTTATATCAGAGATGCTGACAAAAAATTTAATTGTGTCCCGTGGGGCTTTTTGAAACTAGGATATTTTAATAATGATTCTTATTACATTAAATATTTTTTTGTTGCTTCCACATGGTCCTGTTGAAATATGTTAAAATTTTCTATTCTAGAAATTTCCAGAAGATGAGCTGCTTCACTGTCCAAACAAAGAAGCTGTTGAATCACATTTCATGTCTATAATAAAGGAGGCCGACGCTCTCAAACATCGGGGGCAGGCCATCAACAACATGCAGAAGAAAGATCATAAAGCCCTGTGGACTGGGTTAATGAATGGTCAGTTTTTACAAAGCCCCATGGACTGGGTTAATGAATGGTCAGTTTTTACAAAGCCGTATGGACTGGGTTAATGAATGGTCAGTTTTTACAAAGCCCTATTGACTGGGTTAATGAATGGTGAGTTTTCACAAAGCCCTATTGACTGGGTAAATGAATGGTCAGTTTTTACAAAGCCCTATTGACTGGGTTAATGAATGGTCAGTTTTCACAAAGCCCCATGGACTGGGTTAAAGAATGGTCAGTTTTCACAAAGCCCCATGGACTGGGTTAATGAATGGTCAGTTTTCACAACGCCCCATGGACTGGGTTAATGAATGGTCAGTTTTCACAAAGCCCCATGGACTGGGTTAATGAATGGTCAGTTTTCACAAAGCCCCATGGACTGGGTTAATGAATAGTCAGTTTTCTATGTGATTTGATAATGAATGAGTATCCATCTCTGGTTAAAAAAAAACATTGAACATATCTAAATAATGATTGTATTTTTGATGTGGTTCTTAGAGTCTGATTGTGGAAATATTTTTTTTCAGATAAGTTTGATCAGTTTTGGTCTGTGAACAAGAAATTAATGGAGAGCAGTGGAGAAGATGCCTTCAAATCCATTCCATTTAGGATATATCAGGTGATCCTAATGTTTAATAACTTGATTGACACTTTGTCTTTCATTTCAACATAACAATGGTAATCTTGATGATCCTCCTAGTATGTTTACATCACTCTACGTGGACATCTCGTATTGGTTTAATCTTAGATCTAACATAAACCATGTCAAGTCACTAATTTAAACTTGAGGCGGTTTTAAAAAATGCATAATTTCAATCTTTTAGCTAATGTGACATCAGTAAATTTGTTAGCAAATAAATCCCCCAACCTTCATATTCAGAGATCATAAAATAAGGGACTTATGAGGCAATCCTTTTTCTGAACTTATTTAAATGAATATTATCCCTTAACATAAAAAAAAAAACTAAATAAAAAACAAAGAAACTGAGACGCTTAAATAACAGCTATTTATAATTAATATCAACAATTTTAACTCTCTAAAATACATCCTCAAATGTTTCCAAGTGACATTTTCTTGTCTAGTATCCCATATTTTAAATGTTTCACAGAGTTTATGTGTATCGGTAACTCATTAACAAAAAAAGATAGATAAATGAAAATTTGCATCAAAGTCTAGTCAAGAACCATCCCATGAACATCCTTAATTTAGCATGTTCACTTTTGTTGTTCATACAAATTTATGTGCCCACTACATCTAACTAGTGTCAAATATTCTAAGGCAATATCAGACCTGGTAACTCCTACGATTTTGGCATACAATCTATGATTTAGATATTGCAATTTAATTTATAAACATCAGTCTTCTGCCCTTGGAAGTCACCTTTTTTTACTTTTTTTTTCTTTTACACCAGCTTAACCCGTCAGAAGTAGTTATTGTATGCATTTTAACGTATGTTTATTTATTTACTGTTATGATATATGGTACGGTACAATTTTGAGATGGTATGATACTATTCTGAGATGATATTGTACGATTTTCCAGGGTTACCAGGTCTGCAGTTTTCCTTCCTTGGTTTTCAATGTGCATTAGTGACAAAACATTAATTTGACTAGGCCATATGTTCTGTTAAACAGTGTTTTATCTGTATTACAAGCAGTGTTTTATCTGTATTAACACCCATACAGATTGCACTGGTCCATAGCTTAAATAAAAATGTATCAGTGAAGTTAACCAATGAAAAACCTAAGAATAATAGACATGCAACTGAATTTCTATGACAACTATGGCCTAAAATGGCCTTTACAACCTCAATGGTCTTGGAGAACATTGACGAAACCATTAATTCCATCCACTGTTTCCCACCCAGGTGGACAGCATTCCTATTCAGAAGTTATTTAAGCCAACTGATGACAACGGGGAAACTCTGACTCTTAGGCATCTTCTTGGTACAGCTTTGCCTGAGCTTACTGACAAAGGTAGTCACAGAAATGCTGCAATTAATATCTAATGATATAATAACATTATATTTATTAAAACCTAAAGGAAAGTGGAAAGGGAAAGAATAGACATGTCATAGACAATTTAACATTTCATAATGAATTTATATAAGTTAAATAAAAAAAAAGATGAATTTCAGAGAAGATGTTCTTGAATCTTTCACAATTTGCTCAATTTAAGTTGATGATGATGATTGAATACTTTTATAGTGCTCGGATCCATGCTATTTTAGCGTACTCGGAGTGCTCTGATGTCCTAAAATCTATTTAAAGAAGAAAGTCTTGAAATGTTTCTTGAATGATTTTTGATCATTTTCAATTCCCCTCAAAGACTGAAGCAAACTGTTCCATAATTTAGGTGCTATAGCTTCAAAAGAGCGCACTCCGTACGACTGCTGTCTGTTTCAATTCACAGTTTGTGCAGTTTTTAAATATAAAAATAAAAGTTCTTGTTGATATCTATGGTATGTAATTGAGAATGAATCCGCAAAGTTATGAGCATACTTTAACACAAGGGGTTTATTTGTCTTGTTAGAATTTTTAAATGTTGATATTGCTTTATCTCCAGAGCTGTCAAGCCACCACGTTATAACACAGGGCATTGAACCGCCTCTTGAAACACCAGCTGCATGGATGAGTGAACATCTAAGCTATCCAGACAATTTTTTACACATATGTCTTGTACCCAGAACAGAGAACGAGAGCTAGTTGATGGAGATGTTTGAAAAAAGAAAATAACTTGAATCATCAACTCATGATGTTGATGAATATGTAGAGCAGGGTCCTCAAACTACGGTCCACTGGCCCGATCCGGCCCCTTGTTTAAAAAGTTTGAGGCCCCTGATGTAGCGCATAAACAACAACAAAAAAAATACTTGTACATGCAATTTTTTCAATATTCATCATTTTTCATTAATATTGTCTCCAGCCAACTTTGCCGATGCATTATCCATTACTACATCTGCAAACTTGATCCCTGAATTACGCCCCTTATTTGTTAACTTAAAGTCTTCAGTCTGGTACTCGAGAGGAGTTCTTGTGTGTATATGCGACCAGTTGTCAGCTACCTGCGACCAGTGGTCAGCCTTGTAGCAAAGAGAGCCGCACACAGTTGTTCAACAGTGTTTGCTGACAGCATACTCATTATTTTGACCCTACCGTTCCAGCAAAACTTGATGAGATCATTGTTCTTATTATAACTGTCACTAGGGTCGGATGCAAAACTTGATGAGATCATTGTTCTTATTATAACTGTCACTAGGGTCGGATGCAAAACTTGATGAGATCATTGTTCTTATTATAACTGTCACTAGGGTCGGATGCAAAACTTGATGAGATAAAGTCATTATTGAAATAGTCACGAGCTTATGTTTTAAAACAAGGCAACCCTCCCCTTTGCTCTTGCCAGCTTCATCCACCATATTGTGCAGTTGAGCTCTCCATGGTTGTTCCTCTACATTTTGTTCTGCCATCAGTATTTATTGAATAAAATAATATAAAAAATATTTGCTTATATAAATAAAATGTTCACAGTAACCAATTTAAAATTCAGTTAGTCTTTAGAATGCTTCCATGCGAACAATGATCTTATCGTTTCATCCTTTATAGAGAGATGGAATTAAAGAATGAAACTGTGATTGTTGATTCAATGCAATGAATGCTCTTAAAAGATTATTTTTATTATTATTGGGAGTCTGGTGGTTTCAAGTTGTCTCAAATTATTAAAAATGAAAAACATTGATTGAATGGTCCTCAGTGGTTGTCAGTTGGGGTCAATGGTTGCCAGGGGGTGGGAGGGGGGTCAATGGGTTAAAGTTACATGATTTACATTTTTTGGGTTAATTTTTTGAACATGTTTTTTTAAAAGTGAAATGTTGCTGATGATCAGTATGATTTCATCATTATGTTTTTAACAGTATGTTTGCCATATTTTGATGTTGTTCACATACAAATATTTTATCGTCTTCACTTTGTCATGTTCTTGAAACTGTGTGAAGGCTTGCAATAATGTGATTGATGATGTAACCTGTTTGTCATTAATTAAAACATTTGAACTGAAGAAATTGTGTATTGTGTTGCATGATGGATGGGGTGTGTTGCATGATGGATGGAGTGTGTTGTATGATGGATGGGGTGTGTTTTGTATGATGGATGGGGTGTGTTGTATGATGGATGGGGTGTGTTGCATGATAGATGGGGTGTGCTGCATGATGGATGGGGTGTGCTGCATGATGGATGGGATGTGTTGCATGATGGATGGGGTGTGCTATGGGTGTGTTGCATGATGGATGGGGTGTGCTATGGGTGTGTTGCATGATGGATGGGGCTTGTTGCATGATGGATGGGGTTTGCTGCAAATCAAGCAAAGACTGGTTCCGTACTTTTGGTGTCTAGAAAGAACATGATTGTATTGTCAAAATTACTTCTGTTGTAAGGCCCATTATCCTGTCAAAACTGTTATCCTGGCAATGATGACATATGCAAATATCACATCTGTTATCCTGGCAATGATGAGATATACAAGTGTCAAAACTATTTTCCTGGCAATGATGAGATATACAAGTGTCAAAACTGTTATCCTGGGAATGATGACATATACAAGTGTAAAATCTTTTATCCTGGGAATGATGACATATACAAGTGTCAAAACTGTTATCATGGCGATGATGACATACAAGTGTCAAATCTTTTATCCTGTCAATGATGACATATACAAGTGTCAAATCTTTTATCTGGCAATGATGACATATACAAGTGTCAAATCTTTTATCCTGGCAATGATGACATATGCAAGTGTCAAATCTTTTATCCTGGCAATGATGACATATACAAGTGTCAAATCTTTTATCCTGGCAATGATGACATATACAAGTGTCAAATCTTTTATCCTGGCAATGATGACATATACAAGTGTCAAATCTTTTATCCTGGCCATGATGACATATACAAGTGTCAAATCTTTTATCCTGGCAATGATGACATATACAAGTGTCAAATCTTTTATCCTGGC